AGACAGCAACATATACTTAGTTGTCTCTGTGTTTACTTCTAGACCAACCTCTTTACTTGCGGCAATTAAAGTTTGTGTGTTTTTCTTTATGGTGTCTACATTATCACCCAGTAGATTCACATCATCGGCTTAGACAAACAGCTGATATGTCCCGTTTAATTTCAGTCCCACCTGGTTTCCCTGGACCTTCCTAATTGCATATTCTAAGGCAAAGTTGAAAAGGAGTGGCGATAAAGCATCTCCTTGTTTTAGACCATTCTGGATAGGAAGTTTATCAGACAAATATTTACCTACACGGACTTTACTATACGTTTCGTTTAAACACATTTCAGTCAACCTAACTAGTTTCATGGGTATCCCAAACTCTATTAGAATATTGTACAATACTTTCCTCCTAACGGAATCATAGGCTTTCTTGAAGTCTATGAATAGCTGATGTACTGTTTTATCGTACTCCCATTTTTTCTCCAATATCTGACGAATGCAAAAGATCTGATCTGTAGTTTATCTGTTACGTCGAAACCCACACTGATGATCCCCAATAATTTCATCTATAATGGACTTAACCTTGAAAGAATATTGGGCAAAATTTTATATGAAGTTGATAGCAGTGATATCCCCCGATAATTACTACAGTCAGTTTTATCACCCTTCTTGTGAACTGGTACAATAATAGACTCCTTCCACTGCTCAGGCAATTTTTCCTCATGCCAAATAGAAGTAATTAGATTGTGGATCTTAGAACGTAATATTTCGCCTCCTGCTTGAATAAGTTCTGCCGGAATTTGATCACTACCTGGCCAAGTAGTATACCGTTTCCATGAAATACTTCCTATCATAATTACTCACCATCATGCACATTTTCCGTTCACACAGGCATTATGTTTTCTGACGCCTGTATTCAGATCACAAGTGCTGTCCTGTTCAAAAGCCACACGCACTGCAAGCCAGACTTTACGTATGTAACTTGGAGTACACTTAAAAAGTAAGACAATGTCGGTTTTAGGTTGGCCTCACACCGGCATGCTTGAAGACACGTAACAGTCAAGACACGATGTCTGCGACATGACGCAAAGAAAGGAGCACAGTTGAAACAAATGAGATTATGAAAACCGCCGCACACCGGTCTGGGTCATGATGTTGACGAATCAATGAAGCAAGACTGCGTTTGTTTTTTGTTTTTGGTCTCATGTTTTGATGCTTGTCTTGACACAGTTGGTATGCGGCCGCCCGTATTCTTCGACACTAACAACATTACCGCTGAACATGATGGCCTAAAACGAAAGAATGATTTACCATTGTTCTCAACGTCGTCAGTAACAAACAAGCCTCACATTGTGACATTCCAGGATATAAGAAGATGCACGCAACGAGCAGTTCTGTTGGTTACAGACTTCTCTTAGTATTGTCAGGTGAGCCATGGTGAGCGTCATCGTGAGGTTTTCTTCATGATTTTTGTCAATCCTTCCGGGCTATTGCTATGACATTATTTTGACATGAGTCTGCCTGTGTTTACAGTCTTCACGGCATCATTCAACATGACATAATTAGTAAATGACCGACAAAACATAACTCTCGATTTTTATTGCTAACAGATTCAAAACCATGAAAATGGAGCTTTTTTTGTATCTTTGCTACTCGTCACCAAAATTTCAAATCAACCAATGGCGATTCCTTACTTAGTTTGCCTGACTTTATTTATTAATGCCGAAGTGGTACTTCGCATAAACTTCAGTTGGAAGTGACTGGCAAATGTAACTCGCCTGTACCTTAGTTATCTGATGATGATTATGTAACTATGTACAATGGATTTATCGTCATCAAATAATCTGAGCCTTGAATATCGCCAAGTAACGCTGAACTGCAAAGATAACGACACGCGGAATCACTCAAAACTGCTGAATAATGCTGATTAGGCGTGAAAAAGAACATCTTACGTGGAAGCCACACCTCTATGTGTGTCTGTTACCTAGAATCGGCGCCTAAACTGTGGAGCTGATTTTCGTAAAATTCGATATGGGAGACTTTGACTAATATGCCGTAACACTGATGAATTATGATGGGAATTTCGGACCAGCAATGAGATATTGTTTGCACACTGCTTAACCGTTTACATAAGTGGCCTAAGTCAGCTATTTGTTCTTAAAAACAGGAGCGATAATGAAATGGTAAGTAGGAACGGACTGACTGTTCTCGCTGAACATGCGCAGAAGGAACTGTCCGGGTTTTCTCGCTAGATTGGGCGCTGAGTACTAACAGTATTATTTAGCGGCCTCCGTAGTCTTGAGGTAACGTTCCCACCTCCTGACTCGTGGTACGCGGGTTCAAATACCCGGCGGAGGTCGTCGAATTTTTAAGGGCTGAAAAATTCAGGGAACAAGTCCTCCGGGAGGGACTTTAAGCTGTGTGTCCCGTGTCGTAAACTTACGGCACGTAAAAGAACCTCATATCCCCAAAGGGGATCACTGAGCCAAATTCCAGGACGTTTCCCGTCCAACTATAGTCTTTAAGGCCTCTGATAGATGGGGGAAGCATTATAGACACCGCTAAGCAAGTGGCCGAACTCGCTTGCTCGGCGGGACTGATGGTACGCATCATTTATCGGTAGGGTAAAGAGACTGGTAGAATATCATAGAGGGAAGCACAATAGATCAAACTGGTCGCGGTGCATGGGGAAACCCACCCTCTCTAAATAACTAACTAACTAACAGTATTATTCCCCCCCCCCTCCGACTACAAATCGAGGGAAGCAGCTATCGCATCTCCATTTCGACATCTCCGAGAACTATTAATAGGCCGTCACTGACCACAAGCTTGTATCTATGTGTTCGCTTGTATCTACGTGTTCTGATAGCTCCAGAATTGTTTACGATTGATAAGAATTTCTGCATGGTCATAATAGTGACACAATGTCATACGTTTAAACATCATCAAGGTCCTGCCGTAATGATATAAAGAACCACAGCGGTGGTCCGGCTTGCAGACGTGCATCGAGCATTTTGTGAAAGCAGTATGCCTATTGATTTGTATTACGTTCTCGCAAGCCCACCGTGCAGGTCGGTTTTACTACTGGCCAAAGCACTCAAGATTGAACTGAACTTGAAGGTGACAGACTTATCAAAAGGAGAAAACAGAACGCCTGAATTCCTTAAGGTAGAGTATGGAAGTTTATTATTACGTAAGAGATCAGTCTGCTCTTCGTCATATCCAGAGCACAGCATTATTATTATTATGAGCCGGAATAGCGTAGTCTGTAAACCGACTACCTACGGTTTGAACGACCAAGAGGTCGGAGTTTGAGTCCCGGTAGGGTCAAGAATTTTCTCTTCTCCACGTCGTTCAGACCGGCTCTGGCGTCCACCCAACCTCCTATCCAATGGGTACGGGGGGCACTTTCCTCGGGGCGTGAAACTGACCACTCACTTGCAGCTAGTGCCGAGGTGAAGAAAATGTGGATCTATACACCCACTCCCCCATACGCCTTCATGGTGTAGTGCCTAATTAGTTAAGCACAGGAATAACTTTACATTATTATTATTATTATTATTATTATTATTATTATTATTATTATTATTATTATTATTATTATTATTATTAAATGTTCTGTGTTACTAGTATCAGTTTTGTTATGCTCCCATTACGAGCACCAGTAGTACTGCGTACTTAGGTGTTTTCTTTTATTTAAAATTAACATTGTCGCAATCATGTAAATTTCATGTTCTCTGAATGCATAAAGCTATTAGACCTAATTCGCACCCTAACCTTCCGATTTTGTTCCCTGGATTGTTTATAAGTGCCATACTTTACGTTAGTCAGATCCAAGTAAGAATTTGCCGCGGTAGTTTGGAATTCTGTCACGTCTGTCGATACCAACAAGCTTGAGCGCATCCAGCAGACGTTTGCGTCTGTTTATATCGTTTTATCCATCATGTTCCTTATAGTTTCACTGTTTCCTTAGAGAAATGATGTCTCTGTTCTTTACGTAAAAGGAGTCATCGCCTTGATGCACTTTTTTTTCTCTTGTTCGGGTCTATCGTGGCCTTACATCCTGCACTTCCCTCAGGGAAAATGAGTCTTCGTGTTCCTGCTAGCAACTTTCATATGAAATTCATAAAATGTTCAATTTGCAATATTAACATTAAAAATTCTACAGAACCATATAAACAACGAACATATCCTACAGCATAAAGAATAGTTAAATAAAACGAATGCTCACTTTAATTGCTTCTATGCTTAATGTGCCTGTAATTCAGTTTTCAATAAGCCACCTGGTTTCTCGAAAATACATTCGCATACAACTGTACCTTCTAATGCTTAAAACGAAGGAAAAGTGGACAAAGAAAAAAGCGACTTTTACTGTATTCCCTTTAACACTTAAAGGAGATAACGATTCTTAAGTTTATCACCGAATGAGCGGGACGCTCGCCAGAATATTAATTCGCTTAATGAGGGGTGGAGTCCAACTGGGTCCACTCGGCACGGTGGCCACTGATTGGCCTATTGTAGCCTGCCCCGGGTGATTATGATGATGGAGAATTTGGTGGAATGAAGAATGGCAGGAGAAACCGAAGTACTCGGAGAAAACCTGCCCCAGCGCCACTTTGTCCACCACAAATCCCACTTGACCAGGCACCGGGATCGAACCCGGGCCGCCGCGTTGGGAAGCCGGCGACTAACCGCTTGAGTTATGGCGCGGCTCTTGTCAGCATATTAAAGAGCTGAAACTAAAGGTGAGCACATATATTTCATGGAGATGAAATACATTTAAATGCATTCTTCTAAATGAGTGTCGAATGAGCGCATAGAAAATCCAGTAAAACTTCCGATGTGTTGATGCATACTTCGCGACAAGACGTACACGTGATAGTCAACATATGCAATGTATTGTTTCGTGTCCTGTTGCAGCTGAACCCCCAGCACGCCATTCCGACGATTAATGACAATGGATTTAGCCTTGGAGAAAGGTGAGAAACGCAACTCTGTAGTAATGTAGCATATATTCTGGCAAGAGCATCGGGTCAGGCTTTACTTTCTTTACCTCGGGTTTTCCTACCACCGTCACCCTGTGGTGTGTGTCGAGACTACTTGACGTCACAACCATGGATCATCTGACAGAACCTCACCTCTGACCCACCATTTCGTGGCACTCGTCTGATGTTCTACATTGTTATTGGTCGATATCGAAAGAAAACCAGCCAATATATTAAAAGCTTTCGTTGGCCATGAACTTTATATTTTCAAAGATGTTACTGACTTCAGACTTCCAGTCTGGTTCATTAGTAATTGTTAAGTCTGGTCTTGGGGCCATTGAACCGCGTGGATGCAGGCAGTGTTGATGATGATGTGGACAGAACTGGCCCCCGAATAGTCCTGATTTAAACCCATGTGAGTACTTTATTTGGGGATTCCTTAAAGATTTTTTTTTCGAAAAACCCGCAATGTAAATGTAAATGAATTGTAAATTCATGTAAATGTAAATGAATTGAGAGCACTAACCATTCAGGCCTACAATGAGATAACTGAGGATATGTGCTGTCAGGTAATCAACAACACAATTCGTGTTGAAGAAGTTGCCAGACGTAATGGCGGTCATACTGAATACTTGATTCACAGCGGATAAATCTCCATTCAGTTGCCTTTTTTATGTTAGTTTCTAGCATTGTATTTGAAATAAAGATTTTATTAATAGATCAAATATTATACCATTTCGTGTGCCACCTGTATATTCAGTTCGTATGTTGTTTGATGACTGTGTATTGACTACTGAAGTTATAAATGTCATGGATGATAAATCTGTAAATTTCTTAGCTTAAAGAGTATTTGATCCGTTCTAGAAAACCAAGATTAACAGCCGTGGGGATCCGTTGCGCTGACAATGCGACACTCTCTATCCGCTAAAGTTATCACTAACTTCGCTGACAAGCGGCGGTCGCTCGGTTGGTATAGTTCACTTGTGGACTAAAGGCCAAGGAGAAAAAGAGAGTATTTGAAATTAGCATCCTGATGTTTGGCCAAGGCACGTAATAAAACCATNATTTACTTATACTTTTTCTTCAACCCTGAAGATGGGGGCGATACGTTCCTCCGAAACGTCGGTTAACACCACATATACACGGTGCCAAATCCCAGAAGACTGCTTTCTTCAAGATATAAAATTAATGAGAAGGAAAGTTCGAGCCTCCATGTGATACAGATATTTTATAGAGTTCGCTAGGTGTGTTCCAATCTCTAACCTGAGAGTTTTCTATTTCTCAGCCGCGCCATTCTCGCGTATCTTGTGAATCAGTACGGCAAAGATGACTCGCTGTACCCCAAGGATCCTAAAAAACGTGCCACTGTTGATCAGAGACTATACTTCGACATCGGAAAACTGACCGCAGGTTTCCTGGATTACTACGTGAGTATGCTATAGCAGTATGTATCTGTTATGCTCTCTTAATAGTGTGCAACCTCTTGTGTGTTATAAATAAGGTATATAAGGTATGCCGCCTATACAACAATATCCTATATTTAAAAAACGAAGAAGACACTACTGTATCAACATTTGTTTATATTTGTTTTTACAAACGCAACATGTTTCGACCCTTATACCGAGCCATCATCAGGCGTACAATGCTCAAGCTTCAGCTACTGAATTGCAATTAAAATTTTATCTAATTCTTCAAATAAGGATGCTTATTGTGTCTTGAAATTATTTAAATGCATAAATTCGTAAACTGAGTCTTTTTGGTTAAAAATTTAAAATGCTTAGATAATAAATTTTAATTAAAGTTAAAAAGTTAAAATTAGAAACTGAAGATAAAACATGAAAGTTAAAATTATATAAAAATGGAATAGAAATGTTTTCTGTGACCGCTACGTGTTGACCTTATTTTATGAGAAGCGACTATAGCCGTGTGCTTTACTTATCAACTGAACAACCGTGTTCCTTCTGTGTCATTTTCTCCTTAATTTTGTAGAGAGGCTGTCAATGAAGTGTTTACATGCCTGTTGAGTTGTCAGAACTCTGCTTTGCATCCGGTCAGAGTTCTCATCTCGTGACCAACTCCTTCCAGAAGGCGTCCTCATTCCGTCCAGGAAAATGTCCAAATACTGCCACCAATGGATTTATACTTATCGATATTAAAACTTACTTAAAATAAAGTCAACAACATTATTAAAATATATTTCTATCGGTTCCATTCAATGAACTAGAATTACGGCAAAGAAATGAAGAGTCAGGTGCAAGTGGGAGCAAACTGCATTGTCCAACTGTTCTCATAGTTGCACTCAGGAATTAGGCGGAGCAGCTGTATTTGGCCAGAAATCGAATGTCCTGGATGCGCTGTTTCCACGACCGCCAAACTAGTATTAATTCATTTAGATTATGTTTATTGGAGGTTGGAGAAAACTCCATAACGAGGAGCTTCTTAACTTGAACGCTTCTCCAAGTATAATTACAATGATCAAGTCAAGGAGGATGAGATGGGCAGGGCATGTAGCACGAATGGGGAGAGGAGAAATACATATACTGATAGGAAAGCCGGAAGGAAGGAGACCACTGGGGAGAACAAATCGTAGGTGAGTGAACAATATTAAAATGGGTCTCTGAAAGCTAGGATGGGATAGTATGGATTGAATTGATCTGGCTCAGGATAGGGACGGCTGGAGGTCTCTTGTGAACACGGTAATGAACCTTCGGGTTCCGTAAAATGCTGGGAAGTTCTTGAGTGGCTGCACAATTGGCAGCTTCTCAACAAGGGCTCAGCTCCGTGAGTGAGTGAGAGCATGTTTATTGTCATAATAGTTTTACGCATTGTTTTTCAGCAAAACGGCGTGAATACTATGTATGAATAAGAAAGAAAGAACCAAGGTCCTCCTTAGAATGTGTTATAACATGTTCGTTCCGAATGTTCACAGCTGTACCCCATCATGTTTACTGGATCTGTCGGCGAAAAAGTACACTTGGATAAACTAGAAGATGCATTCAGTATCTTGGACAAGTTTCTAGAAGGGCAGACCTGGGTTGCTGGAGACAGTATTACCATTGCCGACTACTCCATCGTTAGTACAGTGTCAAGCATTGAGGTAAGTTCAGTACAGAGTATTTTAGTTCTTTAGACAGGCTACACGTATGTAATGCTAATTGAGAGTTCGTGTATGTCCTCCCACATATCTCATGCCCCAGATTAGGTACCTGTTTCGATTAAATAACGAACTGCTTGACATCTGGGCTAAACTTTTTTAAAATAATTTTCTCCCATAATTATGTACTACAGTTCTTGATTTACAATTGTCCAAATATTTAATAAAATTAAATATAATAGTTCTAAATGTGTTCCGGTATATACAGAGTTAGTATAAAAGAATAGACACATTCAACGTCTTGTAGCAACCAAAGTATCATTGATATAGCCAAAACACTTACATGGAATTTAGTGTATATCTTGAAGTTTGTATGACTAAGCTACAAATGCTCTATGTGTGAGACTTTTGTCACACGGCAGATATCAGTACGATAACCCAGTTCGTTCTGAACACCGCTCAACAGACCAGAGCATGGCACTGACAAGTTGACCACCAAGAATTCCGATCTAACTGCCACTGATTTTTTCTTGTTGGGATATATCAAAGACAGAGTTTTTGTTCCTCTATTTCCTGTAAGTGTAAACGCTCTAAAACAACGCACCACAACTGTTACGTGTGTTGACGAGGACATGTTCCGGTGAGTCTGAATGAATTGGATTCTCGTATTGATATCTGCCGTGTGACAAAAGGCCCACACATAGAACTTTTCTAACTTAGTGACACAAACTTAAAGACATATATTAAAAAAAAACATGTAAGTATTTTGACTATATCAACAATACTTCGGTTTCTATAAAACGTTGAAAGTGTCTGTTTCTTTTATACTAACCCTGTATTTAGCCAGATAAGGCATCTGCTGCTATGCACTGCCTCTACAGTTTGGAAGCTCTCTGTCAAAACTGAAATAAATAAATAATTTATGATCGATAAGAACGTATTTTGAAACTTGCTGTTTAAATTAGATCTCGCCCTAATTCCGGAGGCTTAAGTGATCATTTTGCTATCTGTGTATCTTGTATCCCCCCAGATATTTTAGTTTTCTACGATGTCATTTTCGTATTAAAAAGAAGTTGGCGATTACTTATTTCCAGAGCTTCTCGTTGTTAAAAAAGTAATGCGTCATGAATGTTGCTAACAGACTGCTTTAAATGTAAAATAATTTTGCCTCAGTCATGCAGATATTTCTTATTAAATACACACGCGTTTATTAAGTTTAACTATTCAAACATGTTGTTTATCTGCAGCAGACATGACTCCAGTAGTCACACACAAACATCTCATTCTCTAAATCAACTTCATGTCCCGCGGATAAGTTGAGCATTACTACTGACAACACTGTTAACCGTACTTATGTTGTTGAATGTGCTTCAGAAAGCACAACCTGTACGAAGCCCTCTGAAGATTTTGAAGTAGGAAATTGTATGTAAAATCTGTCATCCAGTGGCTTTAAAAATAGGCACGTGTCTGCCAAACCACATGACAATACATCAAAGAAGACCCCAAAATTAACACTCCTCGAAGTGAGAGCCTCAAATCTCTGCACTAAGTACATGGAAATAAAACTTTCTCCGCACACCTGCTTAAATTTCATATAAAATGCTTTATTCTCTACTGATAAAATTATTAATTGCCGGATTTCTTCAGAAGTATTATGAGCAATACTTTTATATTATTTATTTAAACTCACTCATTCACAATTGTTATTATTGTTACAACTTATCGTAAGTTAATCTCTCTCTCTTTTTTTTATGATCCAGCTGCTTTCAAATGGCCCATTAATCTGAAATTTGCATGAGCGTGTTTAGACCTACCAATAACTGAAAATGGAGAGGAACTACCCGCATCGACAAACAGTAACAAGCCTACTAAATGACAGTAGCAATAAAAACACGAGTTATCAAAAGTAGCAGGTATTCAGGCAGTAGTGAACTGCAGCAGTTGTATAAGTACCACTGGGAAGACCGAGACGTAGATGGGTGAGCAATATAGAATTGGATCTTAGAGAGATAGGATCGGATGGTACGGATTGAATTGATCGACTCAGAATAGGGGCCAGTGGAGGGCTCTTATGAACACGGTAATTAACCTACGGGTTCCATAAAACGCTGGGAAGTTATTGAGTAGCTGGAAAATTTGCAGCTTTCCCGAATCCATGAGTGACTCTGAGTGAGCACTTGTATAGGTATGAGTAATAACATAGTGGGGTAGAACCAAATAGGCTGATTGTCAGTAAGGCATAATGAACGAATACTGTGGCCTGTAGTCCGCAGGCGAACTATACCGACAGGGCGACCGCCGCTTGTCGGCGAAGTTACTGCAAACTCTTTGTTGATAGAGGGTGTCACGTGGTCAGCGCAACGGATCCCCACGGCCGTTAATATCGGTCTTGTAGACCGGAGCCGCTACTTTTCCATTCAAGTAGTTCCTCAATTATCCTCACGAGGCTGAATGGATCCCGTTCCAGACCCACTACATCTCAGAAACAGTAAGGCATAATAGTGATGTTAATACAGAATGACATTTTATTTTCAGGCCCTTGGATTTGACGTCAACAAATATCCTAACGTGGCCAAATGGTACTCAAGAGCTCAGAAAACAATGATCGGCTATAAGGAAATAAATGAAGAAGGTGCTCGGCAACTCGGAGAGAGCTTTAAGAAATTACGGAAATGAAATATCCTCACTGGAGATGTGCTGAGTTTCTGTGAAAATAACAAGTAAAATAAATTCACTGCTATATATTAAAATTGGATTCTGCACAACAGAGCAAAATCGAAATAGTTATGACATGTATTGTGCTTTTAATTTTGTAGCAATCAATTTATTTACTCTTACTATGACTCGAATACGTAACATGATGATGGTAAAAATCAGTATTTAAATTCCAATTTTCTAATGTTAATCGATAAATAATGGTAATAAAATAGAACAGGTTGCCAAGAAGTAACATCCTAACTTTTTATTCATTAGATGCTCCTTTCCAATCTCGGCAAGCACACGGTCTTTTCTGATTTACATTCCTGGTGATTTCCCTCAGTACATTCAGACAAATGCTGTAACAGTGCCTCAATTAGCCAACGACAACTTCCTTCCAAATCCATTCTAATTCATAAGTCGTCCGACGCTATATATTACCGATAATGACTATGTAATAATAATAAATATGTGGGAAAAGTAAGGTTATGACAAGGTACTGAAAGTGTCTGGAACTTCTTTTTAATGTCGTTCTTATTGTTAATGAGAAATATTGTCACACATGACATTAGTGAATTGTAGGTGTTTTAATTTTGTGTTAGATAGAATTCTGTTCAACAGAAGTTAATATTTATGCATTTATGAATATTTTCTCACTTTAACAAACAACTTGCACAGACAGGTGTTATGATTTTTTCCCCCAAAATTTCTTAGCTCCTCCGGACAACCAAGTCCATCAGAATTTCCTTCACTGAACTAAAAACCAGCACATGGTAAACATTTTACATTGAAGTTTTCCCAACCTCATCTATATCTTTTTGTTTGATAATATTTTTGACACACGTAGTACACATTAGTAAGGGTAAGTTCATGCTGATTTATTTCCAAGGAGTTCTATAATTTTTAAGTACCTAACAGTTTATACTTTCTCCATGTTTCGGAAACAATTCAGGTACAAGTGATTCATCTATTTCAATGGAGAAATACTAAATTTTGGCCAACGGATTCGCCCTGTGTTTGGAGAGGAAAAGATCTGTAAAAACAAAAACAGACGAAGCCAGTTATTAACGAATTCAGTTTTTATTTTATGACAAATCTCCCACTCAAGTACCTGGTTTCCATTGTATCCTTTTTGCTTCGCGGTTGAGTTCTCGGATGACCTGAAGAATGTATTTTCCGTAACCCTGATTCTCACATGTGGTTGAGAATAACAGGAGTCAATTGACTGGCCAATTAATATTATTGTAATTAGACCACTAGTATGTTTAAGAGACAGAGATGCAATCTAATCTCTATATTATTGTTCAGATGGGAAAATGTTCTCTCGACTTCGGTGAACTGATGGCTACTCGTTTCATTGTTGTTTGTGCTGTTTTTATGGTTTGGGGAATCTTCTGCTATAACATAATGCATTTTCAACATAATTGCAGAAATAATTGATATCAACATTAAACTTCGTAAATTTGCACAAAGCTTTTTATTCGGGCTATCCTTAGGATATCGTAACTAGCCAGGTATAAACACAGGATACATGTGAGACTGCCCCCCTTAAAAGTGTTGTGAATGGAATTTTGAGATTCTTCAAGTTGGATTCCAATTCACAGAAGCACTTAGTTGTACCCTAAATACAGAGTAGTTCACCCAACAATGTCAAAACAAACCGTTCACTGGCGTATTCTGGGTGTAGAATGTGGAGGTAAAGGAGTAGTTGTCCGCATTACCGGCTGAGCTACCTCCATTGTCACCGCTGTTATCAGACAGATGGCAGAACAGTTCCCTTTATGCTACGTCACTAGGTAATAACATTCAGTTGCGTATTTGTATGCACAAGTCACTCATATCAGCTGTGTGTCTTAAAACTTCACGTGAAGGCAATTATAAACTCTTCCACTTCCCAGTTATTTATTTGCTACACATAGCAGGCTCCTCCTCACAGGTGACACTGTCATCCATTGCCTTTGTACCTTGATACTGCAATGTAGCAATTGCCTTACTAATGAACAACGTACCTAGACAGATAATTTATTCCACAAGCTACATTAATAGGGCACCTTTATGCTAATATAGTAAATAGGTAATAGTATAGTATAGTATAGTATAGTATAGTATAGTATAGTATAGTAAATAGGACTCTTAATGAGTCCTTCTGGAGAGGCTAACTTTAAATAGATTTATATCGAAAGAAAAGACTAAGTTTGATATTTTCTGCGGAGTTTGAAGTAATATTGGCCGCGCCGTAGCTCAAGCAGTTAGTCGCTGGCTTCCCACGGCGGCGGCCCGGGTTCGAATCCGGGTCTGGTCAAGTGGGATTTGTGGTGGACAAAGTGGCGCTGGGGCAGGTTTTCTCCGAGTACTTCGGTTTCCCCTGCCAGTCTTCATTCCACCAAATTATCCATCATCATAATCACCTGGGGCAGGTACAATCGGCCAATCAGTGGCCTACGTGCCGAGTGGACCCAGATGGACTCCACCCCCTAATATGCGAAATTAAAATAAAAAGTTTGAAGTAATATTTAATGCTTTCTTCTTTATTTCTTAATTCACTAAACTCCAATGAAGACACAGCATAATTACATGTATCATTTTTTTTATTCGTGCTTGAAATTCAAGAGATGATTTTGCATGGAAGTTCAATTAAGAATTGAATTGGAAAATTATTTTGTATATCCTCGACATGTGTGAGAGTAGAAAGAATGACAGATGTTTTAAACAGATTAACATCGCGCACTTTCAAAATTCGCGTTCGTGTGTGAGCTGAATTTCAGCTTGATTTTTTTAATCAAAAAAATTAAACTTGGCATATGAGATAACTTTACTGTCTCTGTGTGTATGTCTGTGCACTCCTCCCTAACAAATGTTGACCTCATGAACCGAAATTTATGAAACTGTCACATGTGCCTGTCATGTTGAGTCCGTCCCAACTGTGTACTTCGGAAATCGCTATCATCGGCAACACCAACACCGCACCCTCTCTCACTGTGGAGGGAATAACCTTAGTATTGCTGAATGCCAGATCCAGTTGTAATGGAACCTGGTATGTGTATCATGCCACCCGATTCAACCTCAAAGCCGTAATTCGTAAACACATCCCATCAGTAATAACAGCACTGAAGAATCTGAAACTGTTCATGTAATGGCCTTAATAAGGCCGCACCATAGCTCAAGCGGTTAGTCGCTAGCTTCCCACAGCGGCGGCCCGCGTTCGATCCCCGGTCTGGTCAAGTGGAATTTGTGGTGGACAAAGTGGCGCTGGGGCGGGTTTTCTCCGAGTACTTCGGTTTCCCCTGCCAATCTTCATCCCACCAATTGCTCCACAATCACCCTCACCTATCATCTGGGGCTGGTACAATAGGCCAGAATTGGCCGCAGTACAAAGGACTTAGTCCCACCCCAATAGCAATAAAAGAAAAGTAAAAGGCTGGTGAAAGAACCCTGAACAATGAGGAGTTTCACAATTTATATCCTTCTCCATGCTTTGAATAACCAAACAAAGAGGTTTAGATGGACGGCGCACACAGTAGTTGCGGGAGAGATTAGAAATTCATACAGAAATTTAGTCTCAGAATCTGAAGATAATGACGACTTGGGAGAGGCAGACATACGAAGTAGCAAGTATGAAAATTGTAGTGGATCAGGACTGGATTCACCTGAATGGTGCCCAGTGGCGCGATCTTTTGAGAACAGTAAAGAACCTTCGAATTACAGGAATTCCTTTTCAAGCTGCGTGTCCATTACCTGCACAAGGAACTCTTCCTCATGGAAGTAGTTAATTAGTCAGAGAGTCAGTCAGTAATTCAATCGATGAGATCATAATATTTACTTTTCAAGAGTACTGTAGATGAACATAGGCGGAAACGCAGGCTAGAATGAAATGTTTACATATCGGTTATCATATTAATAAAAAACGCAAATATCAAGCATAAAACGCTATAGAAGACGAATATGTATTTTAGGAACACAAAGGCGGAGCAGTAAAAAGAATGTGTTGGAGAGGAGTAAAGAGTCAATGAATAAATCTCAGAAATTAATATGGAAGAATAAATTAATTTGAGAAGGATGTCAACCCAAGATGCAGTTGAAAAAAGACGAGCGTACATATCCAGTTGCGGGTTCCCACAGTTTTCTGGACAAATAGCAAAATAATTTGGGTCACCTACAATGTTAGAAACACGGAAATTGGCATAACTGTCACTGTGTAACATTTGCATTAAAATTAAAACATACGTATTATGAAGAACCAAGTGCGGATTCAGTCCCTGTGAAATAACCACCGGCAGAGGGGCGATGCATTCAAATTACTAAACGTAGACCACAATTTCTATATGGAATACCAGAGAACTGTTACAGTACTAGAAACACAAGATTTTTATTTATTGCTGGTGGGTGGGACTAAGTGCCTTGTACTGCGGCCACTTCTATCCTATTGTACCAGCCCCAGATGATAGATGAGGGTGATTATGGAGCAATTTGTGGAATGAAAATTGGCAGGGGAAACCGAATTACTCGGAGAAAACCTGCGCCAGCGCCACTTTGTCCACCACAACTTCCACTTGACCAGACCCGGGATCGAACCCGGGCCGCCGCGGTGGGAAGCCAGCGACTAACCGCTTGAGCTATGGCGCAGCCAGAAACACAAGTGAGTACTTCGAAATAAGTACCATGAAGCTCCCTCCCTAATGGAATATGGAAAGTGGGTTTACGGGAGCTCTAAATTAGGCTGGTATTGTTTGGAGAGAAAAAAAAATGTTTCGGTTATAGGCAATTCTTTTATTATTTATCTCTGTAAAAAAAATGTCACAAAATGGTGCTTATATAATAAGTTACACACTTACACTTATATATTTGGTTTACAAACATAATTGCTCAATAAAAATAGAACAGAGGAAATAAATTAAATCACGAAGCGTACAGTGCTACATCGGACTAGCTAATACATCAGATTGCACGGTGATTCTCAAACACAGCACTGTTGTAGTGTCCCTTTTCGCTCAAAACGAGCAACATATATGTCCTTTTGAAAATAAACATCTCACTAATTATGAAGAGTTCTGTATTCGGGGATATAATGCCAATAAACCAAGCAAGAAACCAGCATGAAAAATGGCTAATTATTCGAAGCTGGAAATGGAGGCGACTACACTGCGTCACTGTATCCCAGAATATGTCACCCTTCATAACCACAGCTGTGAGAATCTGAAATAGTACACAGTTGACTGATTACTCGGTAGGTCTGAGCCTAATGCATTACAAATGCAAGCTCAGCAGCGTAGCAATGGGAACAGAGTATTCCTGTTACCGTTGAAAATGCCATTTTTAAGTGCTTTATGGAATTTCATCAGAATATAAGATTTTTAGGAACTCTAGCTCAGTCGCTATAGCGATAAGGTTACGCGTTGAACGACCGAGGAGTTGGGGTTCAGTTCCTGGCAAGTAAGAGAGATTTGTTCTTCTCCGTAATGTCAAGACCAGCTCGATGGCCCACCAAGTTTCGTACACAATGTGTATCGGGAGTTTTCCCTTGGAGGGTAAAGTGGCAGGTGCATGAAGCTGACCACGACCTTCCAACTAGTACCGAGGTTAAGAATGGTGAAGCTATACTCCACTCCCTGCTCATCTTCATGATGTGATGCTTAGTTAATTAAACTCAGGGTTAACTTTGTCTTCACATAAAAAGTAGTAATAAAATGCCGAAACAGTAAGGAACGATGATACTAATTACAATTTATTCTTCAATTTTAGTGCAGGTCTCGTCAACTTCTGTTCAACGAAAATGTAATGTTTTTAATGTGGACAACAGAAAATGGCATTTAATCCTCTGTGCTGGATAATTGTCGTGGATGAGCTCTAAAAATATTCAATTTTAAATTATAGCGAAAACGAAAGAGAGAGAGATTCACATTCGCAGTTACATGGACCCCTCCTTTTTCTATTGAATTGGAACAATTATAAGAGCCATAGTTACTCCTATGTCCCCAATTTAGCATTAATAAAAGTCAGTACTGAGATCTGTACCCTACAACATTTTCACTTCTGACGGAATCACCCTGTATATTCGATCAACCGACAAGGTTATAATTCGCTGCCAGTCACTGTCACTCACTTTGCAGTATTGTGAGTTTGTGACTAGAGCAAGTTCGCCACGAAGCGTTCCCGCCCCCTGCCAAACATTATCACAAAGTTTAGAATCCTGTGGCTTTTTGACTAGATAAATTTCGCCGTCAAACATTCCCGCCAATTTTAGTGTCCTGCCATTTTGTCGCTAGATAAATTTCGCCTCCAAGTAATCCTACCCGTGTAGATTTCTATGAGTTTCTAACTATATAAAGTCAATTCGGATTTCAGCAAATCTCTATCAATCATCATTTTATATACTTCTGTGACCATTCACTTTTCGGATGTCTAAACATGATACTAAAGAAATACACTCTTGTTTATAATCGAAAATAAGGTCTGAGAGTAACCAGGGTAACTGTCAACAGGTTTGAGAAGCACCGTTCGCACTTTGGCTGAAGTACAGTAATACTGTTAGAGACACAGCGGGTCAGACACAAAACAATTCAATGGTATCCAAACTGATATGTACACGGCCACTAGCCTTCTTTATGTGGATCTTTGGAAATATCTTCAGTGTGCAGATGTCTACAAGAACTGAGAAGAACGAGCAGTTTACATTTGTCTCCAGAAAACTGGACAGTGCTGGTCTACGTTGCTTCCTGCAACAAAAGATGATGGAACATGTATAAAGAGTTTCTGAAGTGCACACGATAATTACGCGTTGAATAGATGGCTCGAAAGAAACATTCTTTCTTAACTGCGGTGCTCCAGAACAGTTGTTCTGATTTCAGTTCTAAACTTGTGCATTATATGATTGCAAAGTTACTCTGTCTCAGTGCTATGAACATTCAGTGGTTTCACAAAAGTAAACTGAATGACATCCTATTTCCATGTAAATCAAGATAATAACCTTTTGAGATGTGACGCCATGAAGTTTTGTTTATGAGCAACAACGTTCCGGAGGAATCCCCTGTCTCCAACTTAAATTGCTCTGTCTTCTACCCTGAAGATGGAGGCAACTTTTCCTTCAAAGTGTCATCACATGTCTAGCAAAATGTACATGTACGCATTCATTCCCTTCCCCTGCTGAGATATCGATGCTGCATGAGGCAGAGTTGGAACATTACCAAGGCATTCCCAGTGGTCCCAAGTGGTTAGAATATTAAGTCAGCATTCAAAATGTCTCGGGTTCGATTCCAACACTTGTCGTCGGTATTAAAGTTGAGAATGTGATTACAAATCTGTCAGTAACATGACAACCAGTCACCTGGAGACAGAAACTGGGCCATCTCCCAAAATTATATGCAGGAGGGGTACCCCAGACAGTGGACACAGTTATTAATCGACCATTAAAACTAACCTTAAAAATAAGTATTATGCAGTAACACCCTTTGGTGATAGGCAAAATGGTTTCGTGGTCAGAACGCATTAAGTATATAAGGCCGGTCATTCACAAGACACCAGTCTTGTGTTGTCAAGTGTAAATTGCGGACTTCAACAAAAATGTGAATTGATGTGGTACAGAATTTTATTATAACGGTGAAGTGCATTCACTTCATTTATCTTACATTTTTAATGACCGCATTTTAGTTTACGAAACAAATTTATTCTGAAGAAGGCAGTTTTCTGGGATGTGACGCCTGAAGTTGGAGGCGATACGTTCCTCCAAAACGTCAGTTAACACAATATGTACACGGCGACACATCCCAGAAGACGGGTTTCTTCATAGTCACCGCCGTGAAAACCTCAAATCTTACAAAAATTATTCTGTTTGATAGCCAGGACCGTCGCCCACCGAATTCTTAGGCTCGTCATCTCTGAGATGATAATAGCCAAAGGATATGAAGGTGCTACGGAACACACACTCATCCCGACAAATGCAGAGCAGAGGCATATATCCCAGAAAGTCAAAATGACATTCCGATGACTAGCGGTTAGGTTTCCGAAGCCCAAACACAGAAACCTAACGAGATGTAAGACAAATGACTTCAATTTATGACTTACTTCAAAATTTGAGGAGGAGGTACGGACAACCACCTTCGTTCCGTATTCTTATAAACTTGAAACTTACCTCACACTTCACTGTAATCCACAGACTGACAGACCGACGTCTTAACATCAGTTCCTCGGTCAGTAAAATATATGCCTCGTCGAACATCGGACTGCACCATGGATAAGACATATTTACCCTGAAGAAGGAATATACTCATTCAGCTCTCTGTATTCAAAACAAATTGTAACAAATTTCTTTTGCCTTGTAAAGGAAATAAAAGCATTCATGCTTTTTATTTTTTTTGTGACTTTAAGCAATTCTTTAACTGGCAACTCCTGATTTGTTAAACCTGGCATGACAATATTTTTCACAAAGGATGCTCGTAATTAATTTCGTTGGCTGACAAAAAAGGCTCAACATATTTATAAAGTATCGCCAATTCCAAATTCAACTTTAGAAAATTCAGTGTATTCTTTTATGTACTGAAATCACGATAAAATTGGACCTAGCACAGTTCATGGTGATAACTGATTTCAATAATGACAACCGCTTGGTCGAGGCGAAAATTCATACTGCGCTCTTCGTAAATTTGGTTCGAATGGGAAATATGAAAAATACAGCGCTGCTGTGCAGGCGAAACATGAACCATGTTATTGCTCCTCAGAATGTAACTTTCAATGCCGTATTATAGTAATTTTGTAGTTAGTATTGAGCAGTTTCCGTAAATTTGAAAGTAATCAGTGCTTCACGCAGGCAATTTCTCGAGCTCCAAACTTAAGTAATAAATGAAGGAAAGAATTTCCTTATATTTTAAATCATAACTGGTTCCAAGAGCATTTCTTTGTATTCAGGTGTGTCAACAAAATCAGAAATATAGAGTGGCCCTAAAATATTCTCTCACATTAACTGTAATGTTCAAATTCAAACCTGCCGGTCAATTTGTAGAACGATAGCACAACGTTGTTTGCTGTACTTTGAACAATTTTTGTAAATTCAGTACATAATATAAAAATTTCTAACGCATTTTAGAGTACATTTTAACGACTGGTTAAATTGCTTTAGGGAATTCTGTATATCTCAGATAAACTTACCTTTCCAAATTCTGTCGCTTGTTCCGTCTTGATCTCTTCGAGTCCGCCACGCATTTAAAGTATCTTCTCTAATCAATAAATGTATTAATAAACATAAACCGTGATTTACGAAGAAACAGTCTCTATTTTCCATATCCTGACGTAGTTCTACTATGATCGGTTTGCTTATTACAAGACGACGAGCAATTTCCGTATTTGGTGTTGTTATTGTTGTTCTTGTTCTTGCGGTTTGCCTCCGGACACAGAAATTTATCAACCATCTGACGTATAGTTGAGTGTTTTCTCTCCAAAGGGTTCGGGTACATTGTCACTTGTTAGCAAACACGCGCTGATCAGTACTGCTGCAAACTATTCTTGTACACGGCTTTTATAGTCCCCAGACAATGTTTTTAAACGTTGCCTCAAGTCGTCTTGATGACAGCGATAGTAACAAGAAGCGGTGTGTGAAGCGTAACTGACGTCACTGGCCGTGTTCTCCAATAGGCTGGGCCAACGTCACGTGGCGCGAGTGACGGGAAAATCTCGTTTACAAGTACGCACAACGTACAATTCGATTAACGTAATCACTGGAAAGCTGAAATAGATCGGGTTTGGCCCAGAACTTCATGTGACCGCCAAGCTGGTTATATTTCAGTAAATGTCACACAACAGTTGTACCTACGTACCACATAAATTTACGTACAATAATTAATCTGTTATAAAATCGAAAAGAAAATATTCACTGACAAGAGTTCTTCAAAATGAAATACATTGTGGTGTAGTGGTCAGAGTTCCTGGCTACAAATCCAGGGGTCCCTGTTTCGATTCCAGGCGCTATCAGATTTTGTGAGAAGTAGTGGGTCTGGAACGGGGTCCACTCAGCCTCGTGAGAATAATTGAGCAGCTACTTGAAGGAAAAAGTAGCGGCTCCGGTCTAGAAGACACAAATTAACAGGTAGGGATTCCTTGCGCTGACCACGCAACACCCTCTATCCGCTAAAGTTGGCACTAACTTTGCCGATAAGCGGCGGTCGCTCGGTCGGTATATTTCGCTTACAGACTAAAGCCACGGAGTTTGTATTTTCAAAGATCTATTATAAAAAAATCAGATTCTATATTCATAATATTGTATTGTAGCATTCCTGTTGCACTCTTCCATTTTAATATAAATCTTATTTCACAGTTTTATGTGCAAATATTTATTAACTTAAAAGTTAAATATTTTTAAATTTAAAAATTAAGGATCACAACATGTTTCGGCCAATATGTCCATCGACAGGTGTTCGAAAATATCTAATGGGGAACCTGCTGTTTTCTGTTGTTGCTGCTATTACACGTGTAGGTCCCTCGGATGCGCACGTGTGTTGTAGTTAGAGTGTCGTGCTTCTTCGTGCTAAGTTCTTCGCTGCGTGTCTCGATCTACAGTTCTACAATTGCCACACGTGTCGCTATCAAAACCCTGCATGATTCCATTATATATGTGGGGCAAATTCCAAACGCCAGCGGCCCCTTTAAGATATTACAGACTTCCATGGTGCATTGCAGCCATTCCTCTCCACACTCGAGACGAACCCACTTCGAAGTACGGTCTGGCACATTTTTCTGCTGTTTCTCGAGTCTGACTGACTGACTCTAGGAGTCAAGTCCTTCTTGAGAAGCCGCCAGTTGTGCAGTCACTCAAGAATTTGTCAACATTTTATGGAACCCGAAGGTTCATTACCGTGTTCACGACAGCCCTCCGCTTGTCCCTATCCTGAGCCAGATCAATTCAATCGATACGATTGCATCCTATCTCTCTGAGATTCATTTTAATAGTATTCACATATATACGTCTTGGTCTTCCTAGTGGTCTTTTTTCTTCTGGCTATCCAACCAATATACTATATGCATTCTTCTTCCCCCCCATTCGTGCTACATGCCCTGCCCACCTCATCCTCTTTGACTTAATCATTCTAATTATATTTGGAGAAGAGCAAAAGATATGAAGCTCCTCATTTTGCAGCTTTCTCCAACCTCCCGTCAGTTCATCTCCCTTGGACCCCAGTATTCTCCTCAACACCCTGTTTTCAAACACGCTCAGTCCACGAGTATGTTCCTCCCTTAATGTTAGAACAAGTTGCGCACCCACATAGAAGCACAGGTAAAATTATAGTTTCGTATATATTATTTTGTGGCGTAGTCGGTAGTGTAGTTGGTTGAGGGGCTATGCTACAAGCCGGAAGGTCGCGGGTTCGAGTCCCGATGAGGTCACTGGATTTTGATCTAAGTGATCAATTGATCTAATCCTTCCAGCAGCACTATGGCCCTGGGGTCGACTCAGCCTCTAACAGAAATGAGTACCAGGAATTAATTAAATAATTTTCCTGGGGAGTAAAGCGCGGCCGGCGCGTAGGGCTGACAACCTTACCGCCATCTCTGAGCCGATTGTCTAGATAATGTGGGACCCTCAACGTCTCACAACCCCATGGGCTTTCACGGCCTGTTACAGGGACAGCTTTACTTTACTATATTACTCGTATTTTGTATGTTTTTAGACAGCAAACGAGAAGACAACAGTTTCTGGACTGAATTGTAGGAAGCATTACCTGATTTCAGTCTCCTCTTAATTTCCTTCTGAATAATATTTTGTTTTCTCACTGTCGTTCCCAAATATTTTAAATGTGCCACATTTTTAAAGAATCTGTTAGCTATCTTTCTGTTCCCATTTTCTTTAGATTAGGTTGTTTATCCAGAAAATTTGTCCAAGTCCTAGGTCCTTTGTGATATTTCGTAACAGACTTATTACTTACGGTGAGGAGTAGTTGGCCCCAGCCAAACCCCAAGGCCAGGGGATCATTCTTTGTCGGCTGTCCGTGACTGCTTATTCAGTATATTCGCACTTTATAGAGTGCAATGGAGGAAAAAATCGTCCACCTTTTATCGTTGTATTTCATGTATGTATGCATCTTTAACCGTCGATACACCATACACGCTAGCATAGGCGAAATCACAATTACCCGTCTTCATGCAGTTCATTGAGCAATCATCTGATGGACCGGTTCAAGCACCAGCAAAATACAAACACAGAAATGATATGGCCCCACTCGCTGCATCACGATTTTTCCATTCCTTGAAGTGAAATGATCCTTGCTGTTCGTGTATTACTTTTGGTTATTAGCGAGAAATCAATTAGAACAGTGTTTTGAATGGAAAGTTGAGTGTGAATGGTGTAAGAGAGTGCTCTATAATTATTCTGAGATCATATCTAATATTCACCTTGAACTGGGAAGAAATTAAATATGTGCTAATGTTTTCAGGACCCTGAATACGTCAAATAGAATAACACGTGGTTGGGCACAGTAATATTTTAAATAGCTTCCTGAGTAGTATTCTCTGGAGCGACACTACCACTCTATGCAAACAGTTTATATTTAATCAGAATTGTTACCGTCACTTTTCATACTTGTCTCATTCATAGGTCACTATCGGTGAAGTAGCAAGTAAAGTGATTAGTTCTATGTAGCGGTGTTTATTATGCAGTCGTAAACTGTTTCAAGGACTTTCCTGGGCGTTTGCAGGTAGAGTGAAAGAAACATACGAAATCACACGCACACTGATTAACAATTGGCAGTAGTCAGTACAAATATGGGAATCCCACATTCTTTAAAGGGGAATTTAAGTTGGAAGTCATATGAATCAGCTGTTTACAGTTTTAATAATCATATCCCAGAACACTGTGAAGCATGTAAAATTCCAGTAGTAAGTTAAATTCCATGCATTGAAGATAAGTAGAAGAAGAGAGATACAGTCTGAAACACACTTAAGCTCGGCACGAACTGCAGATAATACTTACTTACTTAGTGTTTTCCTCTTATACCTTTACGGTGTCGATGTTGTTTCTTTTCGATTTTGATCATTTTACAGACGGTAGGACTCCTTTGACGTATGATCAGCCCGTCGCAAAACCTCTACCTAAACACAGGACAACACAAATACAAAACAGAAACAAACACATACCAAACATCCATGCCTTGTGTGGGATTCGAACCCACAATCCCGGCTTCCGAGTGAGCGAAGAGAATACATGCCGCAGACTGATCGGCTATCGTGAGCAGCCTGGAAATAACAACTTAAAAATCAGGCGTCTAAGGCCTGAGCCACTCTTATTGCTTGTTTAACCCCTTTATCTTCCAGCCTCATGTAAAATTTCATTTCATTGAATGTTGTAGTCATGTGTTCAACACTCCGGTTTCGTTTTCAGGACGTCATAGATCGAAATCTCTGACCGCAGACCGGATATCTTGGTTTTCCTGTCTGTCGAGGCGAATGTCGGGATAGTACGTGTACATCCAATTATATTACCAACGATTCTTTCTACAACCTTTCCAATCCATTACCAAGTTACCATGTCGTCATTGGACTGTATATAACATGAACAACGGAAATCGTCTTTAAGTACACTAAGAATAAAGAGGAATACACGCATGCGCATATGCCGTCACAATGGTGGCGCTGTCTAAGGCACGAACCGTCCTCGCAATCTCTGAAGATGGGATTGTGGGTTAGAATACCACTCACGGCATGGTTGTCTGTATGTGAGTTTTTTCTGTGTTTGTGCTGTTCTGTGTGTAGGTAGCGGTCTTGCGACAGGCTGATCGCTCATCCAAGGAGTCCTACCGTCTGTGTCAAAAAGATTACGGGGTTGAAGTAAAGGCCAGGGCTGCACAACCATTGATGAATGAATGAATGAATGAATGAATGAATGAATGAATGAATGAACGCACATGAGGGCTGAGTACCGAAAATTATTTTTCTAACTCAAGTTATGTAAAAATATACTTATTAATTCAAAGCTTATTTTACGATAACTTTATTATGTATGTGAAATAGAGCAGTGTCACTTAAGTGGCTGAGATTTGAACTGAAATCCTTCTGAATGGAAGTAATGCGTACTTCCACTTCCCACTCTTGTACACGGAAACTGCTTACGCGTAAGCTGATCTCAAGTTGGTAGCGGCTTTACCATCACTGAGATCACGCAGTGCGTCAACATTTCGTGGGACAATAGAATGTAAAATTCTGGATATACTGACGTCATACCTTTGTCGTGACCTTCGAACCCAATATCTTCAAACAATGGCCTTGCACCTGTAAACAAAATGGGAAGAACTAATGTAACCAAGTAGTCTTAAATTCTTGTAACTGAAAAAGCTACTTTGACTCATGTTGCATGATGTTCCTTAAAACGATATATAATCAGATGGACAAGAAATAATCTGTCTTCATGGAAACTGAAGCTTCATTACTGTTTATAGAAAAGTCTGTCATTGAACTCTAGCTCCAGGCAGATGAAACCAGTCCATGACCTCAAGTCATATTTCCCCGGTAACAACTGTAACAGTACCGTCCTATGTG